TGAGAGGCACAAAGAGCTGAAACTCTTAAAATTTAGTATAGATTACAGACTATCATGCAAGCTGGAGTTGCCCAAGCCATATGAACTGTGAAGTTCTCCTGTCCAACAGACAATTGATTTTAACGCAAGCAGCGACTGAAAATCACAGAAGCATACAACATATGCTTGATTTGGTACTATAGTTCTGGTATTGACGCCTCATTATTCAAAGAACCGGTAGCCTCTTTTGGCATTCAAACCCTTTTTTGACATAAAGTTAAACAGAAGTGCCATGGCTGAGATATAAATAATTCATTTGCACGTTGATCTGTCCACCACCTGGTGAGAAGATCTATGCATCAATTCAGAATTAGATGGTAAGCTTCATGTTGGAGGCTAATGTTTGGATTTTGTTAGGATAAGGAGGTATGTACAAAATGTAGAAACCCTTTAAATCCCTCCTCCCTTCGCATGAAATGCACCTCACATCATGGTTCACCAATCCCCTACTCGTTCTTCATGGATACTATTTTTCCTTGCTACGCTCATCAGTTCTGGTGCATTAGATACAGATAGAAAGGCAAATATTTTGTCCTACAAAATAGATGTCATGTTTACAGTCCTGCAGTTTGTTATCAATACTAGTCCTATTTTATTTCACATGCAGAGAAATGTCTTTATTTTAATTTGTATCCTTAATTACAGGTGCACATTGTATACATGGGAGATCAACTGAAAGATGTTTCCTCAGTAAAATCTCTTCACATAGACTTACTTGATCAAGTGGTTGGCAGGTTAGTGTCTGTGTCATTTGACGTCCACTTGCAAATGCTTCCCACAACTCAATTGGAGCTAATATTTACTTATGACTATTCGTGCACTGCATAAACTGCAGTTTTTGCGACTTGAAATCTGAAAAGTGTGCTTCATAATTCTTGTATACTTAACACAGTGGTGCATCAGAACGCTTGGTTCATAGTTATAAGAGGAGCTTCAATGGCTTCGCAGCGCAGCTCTCAGATGAAGAAGTGGAGAAGATAGCTAGTAACCTCTTGCATCACAACTCTTATATATAACTGTCATTGTTAGCTCATGTATCCTCTTCTATTCAGGCATGAACGAGGTGGTGTCAGTCATCCCTAATAAGAGAAGGGAGCTCCACACTACAAAATCATGGGACTTCACAGGCTTCCCAGTCAAAGCAAACAGGGAACCATTTGAGAGGGATGTAATCATTGGCATGCTCGACACTGGGATCTGGCCAGAATCCGAGAGCTTTAACAATGAGGGAATTGGTCCGCCTCCACAAAAATGGAAGGGCACCTGCCAGTCTCTGTTCAATTTCACCTGTAACAAGTAAGATTAATGGTGATTACCAGTACCACCACATTCATTTATAACCAGGCATATTAATTAATAATAGAGATAGTAGTCGCCATGAATTTATAATCTCAGCTCAAGTACATGCCTAGCCTATTACTCATGATCACAAAATTTATAACTTCATATAATGTCTACAGTAAGATTATTGGAGCAAAATATTATCGTAGCGAAGGAAAGTTGAAAGAAGGTGACATTGATTCACCTAGAGACTCTGCTGGCCACGGATCCCATACTGCATCTATTGCTGCTGGACGTCAGGTTCATGATGCGAGCCTGCATGGTTTGGCCAAGGGAACTGCTCGAGGAGGCGCTCCTGCTGCAAGGATTGCAGTGTACAAGATCTGCTGGCTTGAGGGGTGTTATGATGCAGACATTCTTGCTGCATTCGATGATGCGATTGCAGATGGTGTGGATATTATTTCTCTTTCTGTCGGGGGGACTGATGTAGAGGATTATTTTGAGGATGCCTCCTCCATTGGAGCTTTCCATGCCATGAAGAATGGGATATTGACTTCTTGTTCTGGTGGGAACAGTGGCCCCATGTTTTCCACGATAGAGAATTTTTCTCCGTGGATTCTAACAGTAGCGGCTAACACCATAGATAGGCAGTTTCTGGCAGAAGTGAGGTTGGGCAATGGCAACAGATATGAGGTATGCACGTTCATTTTCCACATGCCTTATGCACTACTTGTCAAGCCCAGAAAAAGTAGAAAAAGATTGTGGTTATTTCTAGTAACTTGGTTAGTCTTTATATACTGCATTTCTATGTAGGGACTGGCAATCAACACTTTTGGTTTCAAGAATACAATGCACCCTCTGGTCTATGCAGGAGATGTGCCTAACATCTCTGCAGGCTTCAATGGATCCACATCAAGGTGAAGTTACATCCCAAATATGATTTTTTAGAATCATGTGAGCATCTGTTTGTTGTTATTTATACACAAGTATTGTTAGTCATTGTTAGTCAACAATTGAGGCCAACAAAACTTTCGGTGGCCTCAATTGTTGACATCAAGAGAGAGGGGGAGGTGCAGCCTCCGTTGTTGACATCAAGAGAGAGGAGGTGCCGAATTTGTTGACAAAAGAGAAGGCATGGAAGCTATAAAACCCCCCCTCTCTTCCTCTGTAAAACGCACTCCAAAACTCCAAACCAGCAGAGAGTGATTGAGAGAAAAAGAGAGAGAAAGCCACACAAGAAATCTGTGAGCTCTCAATATTTTGTATGAGTGTTGTATGTTGAGATTGAATATAGTGATACACCCTCTTGCCGTGGACGTAGATCAATTTGATCGAACCACGTAAATATTGTGTTTGTGATTGTTCTATTCTCTGGTTTAGTGGGTGATTTCGCCAACAAACTGGTATCAGAGCTTCTCGGTTCTAGGACAGCTTTCAATCCTCCACAATGGCTTCTGTGAAGTTCTCGGTGTCGATCTTTGATGGCCAAAATAATTTCGGCCTATGGAGGATAAAGATGAAGGCTTTGTTGCGACGTGAAGGCACGGTTAAAGCTATCGATGGGAAATACCCAGAAGATATGACTAGTGCCGAGATCGAAGAGATGGACGAAAAGGCTCACAGCGCCTTGCAATTGTCACTATCCGACAATGTGCTTCGTGAAGTTGCCGATGAGGAAACGGCAGCGGGGTTGTGGTCAAAGCTCGAAAGTCTCTACTTGAAGAAATCTCTTACTACGAGATTATACCTGAAGCAACGGCTATACACATTGAAGATGAAGGAAGGTACACCCATTCAGGAACACCTTGATGAATTTAATAAAATTGTCATGGATATGAAAAACCTGGATCTTAAACTTGATGATGAAGACCAGGCTCTTATTGTGTTATGTTCCTTGCCTAACTCTTATGAAAACTTTGTTAACTCTATGTTGTATGGAAGAGAATCCATAAGTCTTGAGGATGTGAAGGCCTCTTTGAATTCTGCTGAGTTAAGAACAAAGTTGAATGGGAGAGGTACCGATAGGCAGGCTGACGGTCTGCTAGCCAGAGGTAGAATGAAGACCAGAGAGGGTGATAAAGGGCAATCCAGAAATCGCTCAAAGTCCAGGTCAGCCCCAAACAAGAAAAATGTGGAGTGTTTCTACTGTCACAAGAAAGGGCATTACAAGTCAGAATGTTATGCTCTAAAGAAGAAAGACAACCAGCGTGGTGAAACCTCAGATTCAGCTAATACGGCAAAGGCTGATACTGCCGTTGTTGCTGAGACGGTTTTTACAGTATGTCCCTTGGATGGCCGTTCCGATAAAGAATGGATCTTGGATACAGGTGCGTCTTTTCATATGTGTCCAAATAAAGATTGGTTCACTACTTACAGATCTATAAGTGGTGGATCAGTTTTGATGGGCAACAATGCAGTTTGTAAGACAGTTGGCATTGGTACAGTTCGCATCCGGTGTCATGATGGGATAGTGAGAACTTTATCAGATGTAAGGCACATCCCGGACTTAAAGAAAAATTTGATTTCTTTGAGTTCTTTGGATTCTATTGGGTGTTCTTACACTGGCGAAGGTGGAGCTCTTAGAGTTACTAAGGGTTCATTGGTTGTGATGAAAGGTAGTAAGGTGAACAGTCTTTATGTTCTCCAAGGTAGTACGGTGACAGGCTCTGCAGGTGTGTCTTCTGATGCTGATAGAGACACTACTCAGTTGTGGCACATGCGCTTAGGCCACATGAGTGAGAAGGGGATGACTATTTTGAGTAAACGTGGCTTACTCTGTGGTGATCATACATCATCACTGGATTTCTGTGAGCATTGTGTGTTTGGGAAGCAAACTCGGGTCAGCTTCTCGACTGGCTCACATACGACGAAGGGCACTCTCGACTACATCCATTCAGATTTATGGGGACTTGCTCAGGTTCCATCCAAAGGTGGTGCTCTTTATTTTCTGACGTTTATTGATGATTTTTCCAGGAAAGTTTGGGTTTACTTTCTCGGGCGTAAAAGCGAGGTGTTCGAAACTTTTAAGAAGTGGAAAGTACTTGTTGAGAATCAAACTGGAAAGAATATTAAACGTCTCCGAACAGATAATGGTTTAGAGTTCTGCAGTGGTGAGTTCAATCAGTTCTGCTCAAATTCTGGGATCGTACGACATCGCACGGTCAGGCACACTCCTCAGCAAAACGGGGTGGCAGAACGCATGAATAGAACGTTGATGGAGAGAGCTAGGTGTATGCTCTCAAACTCTGGCTTGGATAAAGGCTTCTGGGCTGAAGCTGTTAACACAGCTTGTTACTTGGTGAATCGGTCTCCTTCTACAGCCATTGAACACAAGACTCCAAATGAGGTATGGTCAGGTAAACCAAATGACTATTCAAATTTAAAGGTATTTGGATGTCCCGCTTACTATCATGTTAGAGAGGGTAAGCTTGAGCCTAGAGCTAAGAAATGCATATTTATTGGTTATGCTGATGGCGTTAAAGGCTATCGTTTGTGGAGTCTTGAACCTGATTCTCCTAAATTCATTATTAGTAGAGATGTTACTTTTAATGAAAGATATATGCTTGATCATGGGAAGGTTTCTGTTGAGTCTACAGGAAATGTAGAGAAGACCATGGATAAGGTGGAGCTTCAGGTGGAGCTCGAGGGAGAGACGTCTCAAAAGTCGTCTATAAAATTTGCTCCTACAGCTGTAGAAGAGCAACATGATTCAGGCTCAGATGCTGATGATGCTGAGACTGAAGAACCTTATTCCATAGCCACTGGCAGAGAGAGGAGACAGATCAAACCTCCTCAAAGATATGCACATGCTGAATTAGTGGCGTATGCTCTCACGACAGCTGAAGAGATGAGTATTCAAGAGCCATCAAACTTTACTGAAGCTGTCTCATGCGGAGAATCTGGACGTTGGGCCACAGCTATGACAGAAGAACTCGAGTCACTCTACAAGAATCAGACTTGGGATTTGGTGCAATTACCTAAGGGTAAAAGGGCAATTGGATGCAAGTGGATTTTCAAGAAGAAAGAAGGGATCCCAGGGGTTGAAGATGCTAGATTCAAAGCACGGTTGGTGGCTAAGGGTTATAGACAAAAGGAGGGAATTGACTATGATGAAGTGTTCTCTCCGGTTGTGAAGCATACCTCCATCCGTGTATTGCTTGCCATGGTTGCTCTATTTGATCTGGAGCTTGAGCAGCTTGATGTGAAGACTGCATTTTTACATGGCGAACTTGAGGAGACTATCTACATGTCTCAGCCAGAGGGATACTTCGTAGAAGGTAAAGAAGATCAAGTTTGCAGATTGAAGAAATCTTTGTACGGCCTGAAGCAATCTCCCAGACAGTGGTACAAGAGGTTTGATAATTTTATGCTTAGTCATGGGTACTCAAGAAGTACTTATGATAGTTGTGTGTACTACATGCATCTAGGAGATGATTCTTTTATTTATCTTCTATTATATGTCGATGACATGCTTATTGCTGCTAAGAACATGTCGCAGATTCTTATTTTGAAGAAACAACTCAGTGATGAGTTTGAGATGAAAGATCTTGGTGCAGCAAAGAAGATCTTAGGTATGGAGATCAGGAGGGACAGGAAAGCTGGAACATTATATCTCTCACAGAAGAGCTATATTGAAAAGGTACTTGAACGCTTTGGGATGAAGAAGGCCAAGCCCGTTACGACTCCTTTGGCTCCTCACTTTAGGCTCTCGGCTTCAGATTCACCTACAAGTGAGAACGAGAAGAAGGAGATGTCCCGAGTTCCATACTCCAATGCAGTGGGTAGCATAATGTATGCTATGATTTGCACTCGTCCAGACATTGCCCAGGCAGTCAGTGTAGTGAGCAGATACATGGCTCAACCAGGGAAGGCACACTGGGAAGCAGTAAAGTGGATCCTTCGGTATCTCAGGGGTACCTCAGATTTGGGTTTAGTTTTTGATAGCAATACTTTGGGAACCTCTGTTGTAGGTTTTGTGGATTCTGACTATGCAGGTGATCTCGATAAAAGGAGATCTTTGACTGGTTATCTTTTTACTCTTTCTGGCTCAGCTATTAGTTGGAGATCGACTCTACAGTCGACAGTTACTTTGTCTACCACAGAGGTAGAATACATGGCAGCAGCAGAAGCGGTAAAAGAAGCCATTTGGTTGAGAAATCTCGTGAGTGAGCTTGGACTACAGCAGGAGGCTAGTTCAGTTGTATTTTGCGACAATCAGAGCGCAATACATCTAAGCAAAAACTCAGCACATCATGAGAGGACAAAGCATATTGATGTTAGATATCATTTCATTCGTGAGGCAACTGCTGAAAGAAACATCACGATGAAAAAGATAGGTACTGCAGACAACCCAGCTGACATGTTGACCAAACCGATCCCGGCCTTCAAGTTCAAGCACTGCTTGAATTTGGGAGGCATTCGCACTTGTTAAGTGGCCCCTTTTGGGGCATTGTTTGCAAGATGGGTGAAGACTCACTAGTTATTGGTGTCGGCTCAGTTTTTTGGGAAAACTTCACCGAGGTGGAGATTGTTAGTCATTGTTAGTCAACAATTGAGGCCAACAAAACTTTCGGTGGCCTCAATTGTTGACATCAAGAGAGAGGGGGAGGTGCAGCCTCAATTGTTGACATCAAGAGAGAGGGGGAGGTGCAGCCTCCGTTGTTGACATCAAGAGAGAGGAGGTGCCGAATTTGTTGACAAAAGAGAAGGCATGGAAGCTATAAAACCCCCCCTCTCTTCCTCTGTAAAACGCACTCCAAAACTCCAAACCAGCAGAGAGTGATTGAGAGAAAAAGAGAGAGAAAGCCACACAAGAAATCTGTGAGCTCTCAATATTTTGTATGAGTGTTGTATGTTGAGATTGAATATAGTGATACACCCTCTTGCCGTGGACGTAGATCAATTTGATCGAACCACGTAAATATTGTGTTTGTGATTGTTCTATTCTCTGGTTTAGTGGGTGATTTCGCCAACAAGTATCTTTTCAGAGCTTATTTGATTAAGGTTACATGTCAAAGTTTTCATGGATAAATATTTGATTTTGTGACATATGCAGATATTGTTACAATGGATCCTTGGAAAAAAATCTAGTGAAAGGAAAGATTGTTCTCTGTGACACTTTAAACGATGCTTCGGGCCTTTCGCTTGATGGCGCAGCTGGTGCAGTAATGCAAAGTGAATTCCTAGATGTAGCCTACCCATTCCCATTACCTGTCACCGTGTTGGGACTGTTGGATGCTAGAAAAGTTTCCCAATACATAAGCAAAGCAAGGTAAATTGCAAATTATTTTTCTCACTAAATTAGACTAAAGAATCAGAAGAAGAGAAACCATAGGTCTCATACTCTGTACTACGATTTTAAGCTGTTTCTTGATGTTTCTATAGTCATCCGAAGGCGAACATTTTGAAGAGTCGGGTGTTTGATGATCCGGCTGCCCCGTATGTTGTTTCCTTCTCATCATGAGGGCCAAACCCCATCACAAGAGACATTCTCAAAGTAACTCATATTATTTTTTTCTCATATTTGTCAAGAAACAGCAATATTAATGGATGTCTAATGCACCGGTACATTTGTGTAGCCTGACTTAAGTGCACCTGGGGTTGACATTTTGGCAGCCTGGTCACCAATTTCGTCTCCCCCTGCATCATACAACATAATTTCAGGTACTTCCATGGCATGTCCTCATGCAACTGGTGCAGCTGCTTATGTTAAGTCATTCCATCCAACATGGTCTCCAGCTGCAATCAAGTCTGCTTTAATGACTACTGGTAACTAACGTTTAATCTCGCAATTTCAACTTCCTAATGAAATTTTAATCTTGATTTGCTAACATCATAAAATCTTTTAGGGTTCTTTTTTTATTTTGAGTTGCTGCTAGAGTTGAAACGCTGTATGATTTAGGGGTGCATATTTTGTATGTTTTGGCGTATTAAAGCTTGGAGGTTGAAAAAGATTAGTTCACAGGACCAAAAAGTTTCTCCTAAGTAGGAGAATTTTTGGAATGGGGCTCTGATGTTAAGGCAGAGATGGTGTCATAATTTCATATTGGAGCAATGGATATTTAACTTGTTTCTGAAGGGGAAAAAGTTTGTTTATTTCTCCTTAATGATCTAAAGATTAAAAAACTGAAGGATAACATAATGCTAGATTGCAACTAGAATTGCTCAATTCCAGATTTATCAGACCTATAGAAGCCACTTTACCACTTCCCTCCAGCCTACATGATGACGTTTATCGTTCAGTTAACAACAATCAGATTGGCTCATACAATTACTAACTTAATTTCAAATCTTCTATTTCATTTTTTCAGCTTACCCAATGAAGGAATCTAAGAACATTGATGCAGAGTTGGCTTATGGTGCTGGGCAGATAAACCCAACTCGGGCCTTGAACCCTGGTTTAGTTTACGATGCAGGCGAAGCTGATTATATAAGTATGCTATGTGGCCAAGGCTATAGTACTAAAAAACTTCGTCTTGTCACTGGAGATAATAGCAGATGCTCTGCTACCAATAATGGGACTGTGTTTGATCTTAATTATCCTTCATTTGCTTTATCTGTGGAGAGTGGAAAACTTTTCTCTGCCAGCTTCAGGAGAACCATAACTAATGTTGGATTACCGAAATCCATGTACAGGGCTACCGTGAGAAACGCTGGAAAGCTGAAGATACATGTTGAACCAAGATTATTTTCATTCAAATCGCTGATGGAGAAGCAATCATTTGTCCTAAAAGTTAAAGGAGGAACTGCAAGGGCTATCGTGTCGGCTTCCTTGGAGTTATCTGACGGTGTACATCATGTGCGAAGTCCGATTGTAGTGTATACTGTTGGAGTTACGAAGCCATGAGGACTCAAAACCTGATATCTTTTGTCTCCGTGCTAAAGCCAGAGTGCTTGAAGTTGCAAAGCTCCTATGAGTCAAAATACTGGAATTAAAATGCCTTTTTCAGACTACTGACTGTTAGTTTGGGTGTAGACCAAACTCACCTCCGTCCGGCGAGGAGCTCCGACGAGCTCGGAGATGACGCAGGCGAAGTCGACAGGAGAACCCCCCCAGGCGAACGCCGTTCCGACCTTGGCGTTTTGGCGGTTCGAACTCTGCGTCACAGGACCCCCGAGCTCTGCGTTCGAGCGATGGCGAGCTCTGCGTTTGGATGGCGAGCTCTGCGTTTTAAGGGGGGGTCCGAACTCTGCGTTCGAACCTGACCTTTGCGTCAGGTTTAGCCGCTGGCGACAGGCTGTCGCCAGCTCTCCTCTCCGCCTATAAAAAGAAAACCCAGGCTAGGGTTTTGAAGTGTGCTGATCTCCCCCCTTCACCTCCGATTTTTCTCTCTGGCGGCTGCCCTAAATCGCTGCTGCGATTTGTGATTTATCCCAGCGTTCAACAGTGCAGGTTGAGGGGATTTAAGAAGAGAGAGAGGGAATTAATTAGGGGTTTTTAATTGTGGGGTATTTGTTCTCAGTTGAGAATTGAAAGGGTTCATACCCTTTGATTATTAACACTGTAGCTACAGTGTTTATCTGAGAAATCTCAGTTTTGAGATACGCTCCTAAATTGTAATTTCTTATTTGATTAATAAGAAAATTATCTGTGTGGCTCCCGAGGACGTAGGCAGTTGCCGAACCTCGTTAAATCTTGGTGTACTTTTTCTATACCGCGTTTCCGTTGCATTAGGGGTTTAGGCGTTAAATTCCTAACAACTGGTATCAGAGCGTGAAATGATCTAGAACAAGTCAGA